CAATATAGAGTTCTGATGAGCAAACTTTGAGGGGTTTTACCCTTTTGAACTGAGCGGCAAAAAGTCGCGCGGAGAAAATAGTTTTTCAGTTTGGGTTGTAGAAGTCAGAAAGTGAGTCTAGAACTGGATTAGTCTGTACCTTGAGTTTTTCATAGTCATGCAGAACGTACTCTTTATCGATTTGTCCATTCTTTAAGTGCTAGGAATTTTTTTAAAAGCTTCAAATGTGGAGCATTCAAGGTACGGGCGAAGACTACATCACGGGCGGAGAAGGACCCCCATAAAATGCTATAAATGTATGTAATTTGGTCTGTGAGGGTCTCGTGAGATGCACTCTACGCCCGCGATGTAGTCTTTTTCTCAAAACACATCATTCAGTCACAAGGCAAGCCTGTTATTCTTTATCCTAGTAGTTAATTATATCATAAAACAATCGCTTACCAAATCAAGGCTGATGTCGGATGGATTTTTAACCGCTAAGTCATCATTATAGACGAAGCGGTTAACAACAAGTTTGAGAAGTAGTTTGGAGACATTTTATCTCGATAATACTACTTTATGCAGAGTCAAGATTAACGCCAAACACTCAAACACCTCGTTAAAAATCAAATGAATGATTCCAAACCATGAAAACTGTCTTCCCTTAGCGGAAGATCATATATTACTGAGAAACCTCCATTTATAGGCATTTAATTGGGGCTCAGAGGGCTACGGATAAAAGCTAAGTACAAACATTACGTACGAATAACAATTTCGAATAATTCGTACTGCAGTGGAAAATGTTGGTAAATATTCGCTGAACAGACTCCCGTACGAATAACAATCGCGAATAATTCGTACGGAAGTGAAAAATGTTGGTAAATATTCGCTGAACAGACCCCCCTACGAATAACAATCGCGAATAATTCAGAATGTTGGTAAATATTCGCTGAACTGAGTTAAAACATGCCCTTTGTACTGACTTATGAGAACAATGCAACAGAACAATGCAATATATGACTTTGTAATTGTGTAAATGAATAATGTAAATATGTAAATAACAACTATATCTATYATAATATCAACTCTGTTAAGGACTTGATTTTAGTTTCATCTTATGTTATCTTATTCATCGATTTCTTTATTCACTTATTTTAATGTTTTCTTCTCGTCTCCAGTAATTATTATTTTATTATAGTCTTAAAATTCTACACGACCACATCAGMCAKGCTGTAATATYAATCGTGTCTAAATAAATATTATTATTATTATTATTATTATTGTTATGATTAACAATCGCGAATAGTTCGTAGGGTAGTCTTCAGAAATTCTATACATACTCAAATCAACTTTTGATCCTGAACCTATCACACAAGGATGGTGCCTACTAATTGCGAACCATTTTTATTTTTTTCAAATTGTGCCAGTCATTTAAATCACCCACTGGGCCACTGGAATCCGAAAAAAATGGGGGTATCCACGCATCTAAGCGAGATAAAATAAAGAATAAAAAATTATAGACCAACTTCCAGACGTGTTGGCAAAAACATATAACTTTTTATGAAAAAGGTCCCTTCAATGGATGTGAAAAAGTAGCTACCTCATGGTCTCAAGCTTAGTTCACATCCAGTGAAAGGACCTTTGAAACTCCTCAGTCAATGCATTTAAACCAATTTCTTCTGTTCTTTATTTTAATTGATTTGTTTATTTATTTTGTTTTAAATTGTCCAAAAAATAGAGAATCTCGAAATTGAAAAAGTTCCCTTGAACTGGATGTAAAAAAGTACTGAGTTCCCTTATAGTGTCACGCTTAGTTCACATCCAGTGAAAGGACCTTTGAAGCTTCTAACCAGCTCTTGAACCATTTTCGTCCTTCTGATTTTTATTTTTGTTTGTTTATTAGTTATTCTATGAGTTGCTTAAAATATATAGCGTTTCGAAACTGAAAAAGGTCCCTTCAATGGATGTGAAAAAGTACCTACCTCATAGTCTCACGCTTAGTTCACATCCAGTGAAAGGTCCTTTCATGCTCCTCAGTCAACTTCTAACCATATTAAGTTATTGCTTTTTTAAGAAAAAGACTACTTTTAAAGTATATCTTTTTTCTTCCACGTTTAGAAGAACATATTGACTTTTCGATTATGAAAAAGAAAATCTTTAAGCTTATAAAAGATTTCCTTTATAGTTTCTCTATGTTAAATAAAAAGAAATAATGGTCAAATGTATGTGGTTTAGGACTGGATTAGAAGCTTCAAAGGTCATTTTACTGGATGTGAACTTCACGTTAGCAAAATAATTAACATATGCCTTGATTTGAAAAAGGGTAAAGAGCCTGTCCACAGGCTTGAAAGTTACAATCTGGTTTCTAATATAAATCAGGGGATGGGCTACCTGTGGTATATTCACCTTCGTCGCACCACACGCAGTACCTACTCTTAAACAGTAAACAATAAACATATCAATATAAATTTTTTTTAAAACATCAAAATCACTACTGACCTTTTCTGTTTTCACTTGAATAGCATTGATCGATTTGGGGATACGGTACAGGATCTCCATTCGTTTGATAAAGACTATCTATTTTCCCTTTGATGTATCCACGTTGATGGTAACTGTACGCCGCTCTATTTTCTATCTTAGCTTTTCATCTGGCAGGAACGCAAGTGAGGAGTTTTTGAAGGTTTTTTTCGATTCCTTGTTTCATAAAAAAGAAATGAAACGAGAAAATAAGTGGAATAAGTTCACAGTTTCTCAACGAGAACCCCTTAACGTATCCTTCTCATATACGCCATAATTTTCATTAATCTTTAAAAATAACTGATTCAAAGTAACTTTTCTAGTGGTGTTAGACTTTTCGCTATAATTTTAAGTCAAAATACCAAAGAAAAAATGTTCCTCATTCCGACACTCCATCTAGGAAGAGTCCGATCCAAGGAGTGAATCCAGATAGGGATTTTCCACAATTTTGGATTTTGAGGCAAAAAGTAACAGGTTCTGAAAGAGCAAGAGAAATGGGGATCGATTGTGTAATTCGTTTTGTTTTGGTCGTAAAGGAAATGGTTTTACCAGAATCAAAAGTATGGACCCGCAAGCCACTCGTACGCC